AGTCAGAGGGAGGAGGGAAATAATAAAAATTAGAGCAGTAATAAATGAAATTGAAAACAAACAAACAGTAGAAAGGAGCAATGAAACTAAGAGCTGGTTCTTGGAGAAGATAAACAAAATTGACAAACCCTTAGCCAGACTCACTAAGAATAAAAAGAGAAGGCTCAAATAACTGAAATTAGAAATGAAAGAGGAGAAATTACAGTAGATACCACAGAAATACAAAGGATTATGAGAGTACTATGAAAAACTCTATTCCAACAAATTGGATAATTTAGAAAAAATGGATAAATTCTTAGACTCACATAACTTCTCCAAATTGACTCAAGAAGAAACAGAGAATCTGAATAGACCAATCACAAGCAGAGATTGAAACAGTAATCAAAAAATAAAGTCCAGGACCAGATGGTTTCTCTGAAGAATTCTACCAAACATTCAAAGAAGATGAATATTTAATACCTATCCTTCTCAAACTATTCAAAAAGTTGAAGAAGACAGAACAATTCATAACACATTTTATGAGATCAACATCACCCTGATGCCAACTCCAGACAAGGACAAGACAAAGAAGGAAATTACAGACCAAGATCATTGATGAATATAGATGCAAAAATCCTCAACAAAATATTGGCAAACCAAATACATAAATACATTAAAAGGATCATACACCATGGTCAAGTGGGATTTATACAAGGGATGCAGAGATGGTTCAACATCCACAAATGAATCAACATGATACAGCACATTACAAAATGAGCAATAAAAACCACACGATCATCTCAATAGACACAGAGAAAGAATTTGACAGGATCCAACATCCATTCATGATAAAAACTCTCAATATAATGGGTATAGAAGGAAAGTATTTCAAGATAATAAAGGCTAAATATGACACACTCATAGCCAACATAATACTCAACGGGGAAAAATGGAAAGCCAACCCTCTGAGAACAGGAACAAGACAAGTGTGCCCACTCTCGCCACTCTTATTCAACATAGTACTGGAGGTTTTGGCTGGAGTAATTAGGCAAGAAAAATTTAAAAATGTATCCCAATTGACAAGGAAGAAGTAAAACTCTCGCTGTTTGTAGATGACATGTTTTTATATATAGAAAATCCTAAAGAACCCATCACAAAACTATTAAAAATATTTGACAACTACAGCAACGTAGAAGGGTACAAACTCAACTTACAGAAATCATTTGCATTTCTATACTCTAATAATGAACTAACAGAAAAAGAATTCAAGAATACACTTCCATTTATGATCACAAAAAAATAGAATGAGATATCTAGGAATAAATTTAACCAAGTGGGTTAAAGACCCAAGAAATGAAAACTATAAGACATTATTGAAAGAAATTGATGATGACATAAAGACATGGAAAGATATTCCACATACAAGAATTGGAACAATAAACATAGTTAAAATGTCCATACTACCTAATGCAATCTACAGATTCAATGCAATGCCTATCAGAAACCCAATGACATTCTTCATGGAAATAGAGCAAAGGATCCTAAAATTTACATGGGGCAAAAAAAGAACCCAAATAGCTAAAGCAATTTAGAGAAAAAAAGAACAAAACTGGAGACATCACAATCCCTGACTTTAAAATGTACTACAAAGCTACAGTGATCAAGACAGCATGGTACCGGTACAAAAATAGACAGAAAGATCAGTGGAACAGATTTGAAAGCCCAGAAATAAAACCACACATCTATGGACAGCTAATCTTAGACAAAGGAGCCAAGAACATACAATGGAGTAAGGAAAGTCTCTTCAATAAATGGTGCTGGGAAAACTGAACAGCCCCATGTTGAACAGTGAAGGTAGACCATTACATTTCACCATACCCAAAAATTAACTCAAAGTGGATTAAAGACTTGAAGGTAAGAAGTGAGGGGCCAGCCCGGTGGCACAGCGGTTAAGTTCGAACGTTCCACTTCTCTGTGGCCTGGGGTTTGCAAGTTTGGATCCTGGGTGCGGACATGTCACCGTATGGCAAACACCATGCTGTGGTAGGTGTCCCACATATAAAGTGGAGGAAGATGGGCATGGATGTTAGCTCAGGGCCAGTCTTCCTAAGCAAAAAGAGGAGGATTGCAGGTAGTTAGCTCAGGGCTAATCTTCCTAAAAAAGAAAAGTGAAACCATAAAACACGTAGAAGAAAATATAGGCAGTATACTCTTTGAAATCAGTCTTAAAAGGATTTTTTTGAATACCATGTCTACTTGGACAAGGGAAACAAAAGAAAAAATAAACAACTGGGACTTCATCAGACTGAAGAGCTTCTGCAAGGCAAAGGAAACCATGAGCAAAATAAAAAGACAACCCATCAACTGGGACAAAATATTTGCAAATCATATATAAGACAAGGGGTCAATCTCCAAAATACATAGAAAACTTATACAACTCAACGTCGTAAAAACTCAGAACCCAATCAAAAAATAGGCAGAGGATATGAACAGACATTTTTCCAATGAAGCTTTACAGATGGCCAATAGGCACATGAAAAGATGTTCAACATCATTAATCATCAGGGAAATGCAAATGAAAGCTACAATGACATATCAACTTACACCTGTTAGAATGGCCAAGAAAAAAACAACAAATGTTGGAGAGGTTTTAGAGAAAAGGGAACCCTCATATACTGCTGGTGGGAATGCAAACTGGTGCAGCCAGTACGGAAAACACTATGGAGATTTCACAAAAAAATAACAATAGAAATACCATATGATCCAGCTATCCCACTATTGGGTATTTATCCAAAGAACTTGAAATCAACAATTCAAAAAGGCTTATGTAGCTTTATGTTCATCGCAGCATTATTCACAATAGCCAAGATTGGAAGCAACCCAAGTGCCCATCACTGATGAATGGATAAAGACTAGTACATATATACAATGGAAACCACTCAGCCATAAGAAAAGACAAAATCATCCCATTTGCAACAACATAGATGGACCTCGAGGGTATTATCTTATGTGAAATAAGCCAGACAAAGACAAACAGTGTATGATTTTACTCATATGTGGAAGACAAATAAACACATGGACAAAGGAACAGATTAGTGGTTTTCAAAGGGAAGAGGGTTGGGGTGAGCATGAGGATTAAAGGGGGACATAGATATGGTGACTGACAAATCATAATGTACAATTGAAACGTCACAGTTATAAGCTATTATGACCTTAAGAAAATTTTTAAAAAATAACAGAGTTGCATCCAACACAAAATTAAAATTCATTAAAAAGCCATCCATATAATGCCTGATAACCTAAGAAAGCTAACTTTTCTAATGTATTAATGACAAAAAAGAATAAAATAGGTATACTAGAAAAAAAACATATTCCTAGAATAGAATCTTTTCTACATGTCTAGAGATCTATACATATTTATAATTTTATAATTTACAATGTATTTATAATTTCACAATTTTATCATGGAATCAAATGAGTTCTTGAATATGTCAAATGACACCTGAAGATGTAGACAATCTGTATTCTTCTTTAGGAATTACCCATCAGCTGTGTAACAGATAACCACAAATTTAGTGGCTTAAACCAACAAACACATGTGTTATCTCACAGAATTTTGGGGGTCAGGAATCAGGGCAAGGTTTACCTGTGTTCTCTCCTTGAGGATCTCAACGTGATGAAATAAAAGTTTTGGTAATATCGCTTTCTATCTGCAGGCTTTGCTGGAGAAGAGCCCACTTCCAAGCTCACTCAAGTTGTTGGCAGAACTCATTTTCTTGCAGCCCCACTCCACAAGCACTTCATAACGTGGGTGCTTACTTCTTCAGGGCCAGCAGGAGTCTTTCTCACTCAGGAGAGTCCCAGGCACATTTTGAAAGCTTTACCTGATTATTTCAGGCCCATGAAGGTTATTCTTCTTTTCAATTAACTCAAAATGAGGTCATTTGGGATCTTAATTATCTGCAAAATTACTTCATACTTGCCATATTCTTGAGGCCAGAAGCAAGTCACAGGTCCTGCCCACACTGAAGGACAGGGAATTATACAGGCTGTGAACATCAGGGAGCAATAGTCACCGGGGGCAAAAGTTTTCCATTTTGATGCAGTCCAATTTATTAGTTCACTAATTTTATAAATCATGCTTTTGGTATTGTATCTAGGAGATCTGCTTATATCAAGTTTAGAAAACTTTTCTTCTATACTTTCTTGTAAAATTTGTAGTTGTTTTTCTTACACTTAGGTCTATGCTCAATTTTCAGTTAATTTTTTGTATAGTATGAAGTAAGGATCCAAATTCATTTTTATAAATGTTAATATCGAATTGGTCCAACTTCATTTGTTGGAAAGAAAACATCATTTCCCTATTAATTGCCTTGACAACTTTTTAGGAATCATGACCATAAATGTAAATGTTAATCTGGTCTCTCAGTTGTTTCATTGATATATACGTCTGTCTTCTTGAGAGAACCACACTATCCTAATTAACGCAGCCTAGTGCTAAACTTTGATATTAGGAGCTATAATACTCCAACCTTGTTATTTTTTAAAAAAATTCTTTTGGCTATTCTAGCTGCTTTGCATTTCCATAGACATTTCAGGAACAGTTTTTCACTTTCTGCTAATAGAGCCTCCTGGGATTTGATAGGGATGTCACTGAATATATTGACCGTCTCTTTAACTGAAAAGACTCTCCTCGTTCCAGATTTCAGTTCAGTTGGCCCTCCTTCCCTGCACAGCTCTCTGATAAATTTAAAACACAATTTTGGCAATTTATTCCCTGTAACCTTGTTGTTGTAGGAGGAAATTTTGATATTTGAATCCACTACATTGTACTCCTAAGTGGGAGTGCTCACGCCTTAACTCTGAAGTATCCAATACCACAGGGTCAACTAAGTAAGTAACAAGCTTCCAAGCCTGCTCTGTAGCAGACAGGCAAAAGGGAACGTGCTTTACACAGACAGGATGCTCACTCCTCACAAAGCCCACTGGATGAGGATTCCCCTATTATCTGCACTTTACTGATGGCGATACTGAGGCAGAGGGTACTTTTAAAACAGAGTCCAAGATCAGAGATCTATGAGGCTGAGAATTTGGGTTTTTCCATCCTGGCAATCTGGCTCCCAGATACTCTGATAAAAACACTCATAAATAGTGTAAAACTGAAAGTGAGTAAAATCCCAGGGGAGAGGTTGATTTTGATATCTGTTAATCTGTCCAAGATCAGAGATCTATGAGGCTGAGAATTTGGGTTTTCCATCCTGGCAGTTTGGCTCCAAGATCCTCTGATAACAACAATTATAAGTGCTATAAAAACTGAAACTGAGTAAAATCCAAGGATAGAAGTTGATTTTAACGTCTATTAATCTTAAAAAATAATAAGTATTCAAAAATGAGTGAAACAGGACATAAATCTCACATGCATATATGGAATAAGTTTGGAAACTGCAATGTAAAACACATATTCTTATGAAGTGTCCAGGAAATATTTACGAAATCCCTGAATATTTAATTAAATATTAATATTTAATATTAAATAGACTCAAAGGAGAAACTTTATCAAATGCCTAAGCATGAGAGAGAATTATGATGGTATGAATAAAGGGTTGAAAAGCCTGCATGGGAGAAAAGGGAGATTTAAATCTAGATGACCTCCTGACACTGATTTTCCATTTTGAAATTACAGAACAATAATCCATCCAGAAGATGTATCTGTGAGTTTGTGTGTATGTGTTTATGTGATGTAAAAAAATGTATTAGTTTTCAGCAACCAGTGTTTAGGGTGTGTTGGCCTTCCTGGGGTTCCCAAGAAAATCCTGAATGTTTTTGATAGGAAAACCTTGAATTCTATTCAGAAATCTGGCATTAAGAAAAATAAATAAATCCATAGTACTGATGATTCTAGTTATGAGAAATCTCTCTCTAAGAATTTAGACATTCACTGTATTTTCTATGTATTGGCTTTTTAAATTTTTCTAGCAACTAAGGTTGAGGGACATAAATTATGGAGAGGTTAAAGAAGAAAAAATTTGCAAAACAATATGTCCCTATTTGCATGCTAGCAAATGAAAATTCACCTTTCACTTCAACATCAGTTACAAAATAATCTACCCCGTGACAAGGACACACAGTCTATAAATAGGAGTCAATCTGAGCTGTTTGGGGAGTAACAGTGTTTTTCATAAAGATGGCATTGTGCTCCTCCATTAGCATTCCCAGTTGCTTTCCTGCTTGACATCGGTCATGGAATGTAAAGGAAACATGAACTTTACTGAGTGTTCTCAAATCAGCTGCACATAGGAGTCAAGGTCAGAATATTAAAGGAGTCATGGCCAGCGATATTAGACTTGTTTTCTTTTTCTACATACAATAACTTTACTACCAATCATTTTTTCCGTCCTGAAAATGACAGAATTTATTCTAGGAAATTTTGCCAATGGCTTCATAGCACTGGTGAACTGCATTTACGGGGTCAAGAGATGAAAGATGTCCTCAGCTGATCAAATTCTCATGGCTCTTTCCATCTCCAGAACTGGTTTGCTGTGGCTCATGTTAATAAATTGGCATGCAACTGTACTTACTCCAGTTTTATATAGTTTAGAAGTAAGAATGATTGTTCGTATTGCCTGGGCAGTGAGCAACCATTTTAGCATGTGGCTTGCTACTAGCCTCAGCATATTTTATTTGCTAAAGATAGCTAATTTCTCAAGCTGTATATTTCTTTACTTAAAGTGGAGAGTTAAAAGTGTACTTCTCGGAATACTGTTGGGGACATCGGTCTTTTTGGTTTCTTATCTTCCAGTGCTATGCATAGATGAGAATATACAGACTAATGAGTATGAAGGAAAGATCACTTGGAAGACCAAATTGAGGCACACGGTATACCTTTCAAATATGACTCTATTCATGCTAATAAACTTTGTACCCTTTGTTATGTCCTTGACATGTTTTCTGCTGTTAATTATTTCCCTATGGAAACATCTCAGGAAGATGCAGCTCAATGACAAAGGATCCCAAGATCCCAGCACCAAGGTCCATCTAAGAGCCATGCAAACTGTGGTCTCCTTTCTCTTCCTATTGTCCTGTTACTTCCTGACTCTAGTTATCTCAGTTTGGAATTCTAATAGGCTCCAGAATGAATGGCTTCTCATGCTTTGCCAGGCTCTTGGAATGTTGCATCCTTCAAGCCATTCGTTTATCCTGATTTGGGGAAACAAGAAGCTAAGACAGGCCTTGAAAAATATAAGAAAGATGATAAGATTACCATACCATTAACCAATTTTTCTGAGGTAAGCAACCTAAATTTACAAGATATTAAAAAAATTTTTTCAGGATTAGGAAGCAATATGTATTTAACATAGATATTCTATGTTATCTTCCAATTGAAGAATTTATCATGTATATTTATGCATTTTTAAGAACTGACAACTTAACTCAGGAAATTATTGCTATATTCACTGTCATTGGACCAAACATTTGTACCACAGTGTGTGTAGATTTTATTGCTTGAACCTCCAATCTTTTGGATGGTAATGATATTCACTTCTAAATCACAAATTGAGGATGCATGATTGGGAAAGATATTATTCCTCTTGAATTCTTACTTCATGGTTAATAGAGAACAATCAGGACTGTTATTATGAAACGATGCACACAATAAATTCAAGACTGAGAAACACATTTACAATAAATTTTATATATGTGTGAAATAGTACTGAGGATTATTAGATTTAATACAAGTAGGTGAAAAGATTAGGAAAAAAATCAAGCTATACAATAGGGATGAAGAACAAAGTAAAGTGATCATGACTTGCTTTTAATGCTGCAATTTCTTCATATGCAGTTAGGAAAGTCATTTCTTATGGTTTTTGAATTAAGAAGACCTATTTTGAAGTTGAGATCTTAAGTCAAATCATTCAGTTTTCCTCCAAACCACCTTGGGCCTCTGTGTTGTCAATCATGTTCTCCATCATGCTACCTAAAAATTCTTTTTAAACTTCAGATAAGAACACTTTAATCTTCTTGATCTTAAAAAAATGTTCACAGTAAGAATAGTAATAAATTATGGTACAGAATTCCATTACTTTGCTGCATATATTAAAATGGCATCTATAATGTCTATTCAATACTTAGGAATAGCTTCAAGATGTGTTTAATTATAATTTTTTTGGAAATGATGAGTAGAAAGTGTGTTAATATATTATTGATAGCAAGTGCTAATATAAGGAAGAAATTTATAATCTTGTTTAACAATCGAATTGCATCTTTATATTCATACTTACTATTATGAAATTTTAACATTATCTAAACCTAAGGTAAATCATTTCTGCTTTATTTGTTTGTTTTTAGAAATCTCTCTGCCCCAGTAGAATACAAGCAGTTATAATGCAAGAATCTTGTCTAGCTTCTTTTCTGCTCACTCCACAGGACATAAAATAGACATAGAGTAGTTGGTCCAAATGACTAAATAAATGGATGAATAAACCATATTCGAGCTGGAAAAGCAATCAAAATAAAACCCCTCACCAAATCTGTATGGATTTCCTGGTTTTGTTTCTTCACCATTCAAATACCTCTGAAGAAATCCGCACAACCTCAGTTCCAATTTCTGCATTTGACTGCCTAGACCAAATGCTGTCACCAATAGGATCCACAACATAGAGTGACTCAAACACAAAATACATTTAATATTGCTCTTTGAGCAGTACTGCTATGTCTGAGCTGCCTTCTGTATGCAGTCATCCAAGGAATCAGTCTGATCAAAAGTATGCCAGGTTTAACATGTCACTTCCAGATTGCCTTGGAGTCATCACTATTCCAAACAGCTGGGAGAATGGCATAGGGAGGAGTGTGCATGGGGAGAGCTTTTGGGATGGGCCTGTAAATGGTGCACATAATTTTCACTCACATGACATTGTTCAGATTTCAGTCACACTGCCACAACCATCTGTAAGGGAGGCTGGGGAATATGGTCTCTGTGTAGCCCAGAAAGAAGAGGAAAACATGGAATTTAGGACATGGAAGTTTAGGGCACTTAGAAATATTTCAGTTGACCTAGCCAATAAGTTATAGTAACACAAAAGAGGTTTCTCTGTTTAGAAGTGTGGTGTAGCTTGTTCAAGTCACTTTGATAATTCGTACATGTCCTTACATCAGTATTGAATATCAGTTCTTTTATCTTCTCTTCATAATTCTAAATAAGTTAAATGTTTCTATCTTCCTAAAAACATAATTGATTATGCACTGTAGTATTTTTACCTTCCTCATGTACGTTCACAGTATATTTTGCTTATAACTTCTCATTTAGCTCCTACAACATTAAGTGCTAATTATTTGTAGTTACTATTTTATGACTTGGATGTGTTCTTTGAAGTAGAAATAACTGCATTAGGTTATTTCTATAAATCATGTTGAATCAACAAAAATACTTGAGAGGAGGAAGCATCTTATTGATGAATAACAAATAATGAAAGAATTATTAAAGGTTAATGTTAATATTAATTAATTATGCAATTAATTTTAAATTATTTTCTCTAGTAATTACTATTCAAAATCTAAAATATTTGCCTTCAAATGTATGGCTCAGGAGAGATAAAGCGTAAAATTGTGGAAAATAAACTCTCACATTTGCATGTTTTCATACCTAACTTTATCCTTCTGGTCATTATCACAAACGAAAATTTGCAGCTGGTGCCAAGGTTAAGTGGACATCATTAGCATTAACTCTGGAAATTGTATAGTAACTGACTGTAAGTAATAAGAAAGGTATTCATGAATCTTCTATCTCTTAACAGAATTGTTGGATTTATCACTGGAATTACAATATAATGAGAATGAACTATTTTTTCATGAAGATCTCTGAAACTTTATCACATGGTAGAATTTTGGCTGCACTTTCTTCAGTTATGATGACAACATTCATAAAAGCATCATAAATGGATGTCAGTTTGCAATTGTTTAACTATATAGCTGCCAGTGAGGCACAACATTTGAAAGATTTTCAAAGAAATGTCAATTGGAATGAAGGTCTCCCTTTTTGTTGTAGCAACAGGAGAACTCATTTTAGAAATGCAGGGAAATGGGTTCATTGGACTGGTGAACTCATCAAATGCATCAACAATGGGAAGATCCTATCAGCTGATTTCAACCTTACCAGCATGCTATGACCAGAATCATTCAACTGTGGGTAACAGCATTTGGTTTATTTAATGTGAGGGCTCTTTCCACATCTGTAAGCCACCAGTAAATCAGCAAAAGCAGTTACTATCCTTTGGGCACTAACCAATCACTTAACTACCTGGTTTGCCACCTGCCTAAGCATTTTCTGCTTCCTTAAGATAACCAGTTTCTCCCACTTGTTCATCTGGCTGAAGTGGAGAGTGAACAGAATGTTTCTTCTGCTTTTTCTGGGGTCTTCCTTCTTGATGTCTGTTAACCTCTTAATGGAAGATGCTCTTAATGAGTTGTTGATTAGTACCTATTGCATATATGAAAGGAACATGATTTCACTTTTATTTAGATGTAAATAAATTTTCTATATCAAAAGACTTCTTCTTCTTAGCTTGACCTATGTCCTTTCTTCTGTCACTGACCTCTTTGCTGCTTTGCTGGTGAGACACACCAAGAATTTTCAGCTCAATCAGATGGGCCGGAGGGACTCCAGCACAGCAACCCATAAAAGGGCCATGAAAATGTTGACAACCTTCTTTCTCCTCTTCAGCATTTGCTTTATTTTCACTCTAATAACAAGTAGGATCTTCCTTAAGGTACAGAGGTATCAGGTTATGGTGTTTATCATGGTGATTTCACCCTTCTTTCCCTCAGGCCACTCATTCATTATAATTTTTGGAAACAGTGAGCTAAGACAGATCACTTGAGACTACTGTAGCATTTTAAATTCTAAGAAAAGAAAACTTTTATCTTCAGAGGCAGAATTTTAAGGAACTTCCTATATTCTATGGGAAAAACCCTAACATAAGACCTTGTAGGTTCATTCTCAGTTTCAGTGTATCTTTCATCAGGACCTTTTAGGTGTTGTTAAATCACAAGAAATTCCCTTACTACATGTGTTACAAAGTCATATTTTCTCTAAGTGATCTGGCATAGTGTTGGATTAAAGGAAATATCTGTGCTATAATAACACTTTCTGGTAACAAATGAGTATTTGAGACTGCATAAAAAGATTATCAAACTATATAATGTTATTAATAAATATTTATGTAATTGCACTTAATAAGTTATTAATAAATATTTATGTAATTGTTAATGCAATATGGGTAAATGTATGTGAAATCACAGTTATACAAAGGAAAAAGAGTAACTTAATTTGTCAAACGAAAGATAAATTTGAATTTAGAATAGGAAAAGGATTATAAGATGTTAAGTGTACCAATGTTTTATATAAATATAAAGGTATAAAAATTAGTCTGATATTATGAATTTTGAAAAGAGTATGAAGCAATAGCAATTTTTATATACTACTGCTAGAATTAAAAATTGGTACAACTACTTTGGCCAACAATATGGTGTATTTAAGTTGAACATATGTATCCTTAGACCAGTAATTGTACTCCTACTTTTATACCTTAGAGAATCGTTAGTGCATATGCACCAGGATACATATCCTGTAATGTGCATATCACTATTGTTCGTAACTGGAAGTGAGATGCCACCCAAAGCTCTATCATTGATAAAAGGGACATAATAGGATAGTGACATAAGAGAAAACTATACAGCAATGAAAAAAAAAACAAATTAGAGCTCCACGTTTACAGTAGAATCTGTATAACAAAGAAAACCAACAAATTAAAGCTAGATAATGCCCATGGAAAATCGAAAGGAAGTATCAATATATTAAAAAAATGTTCAGTATAATCCCAGTTATACAAAGTTAAAAAACAGGTGAACTGCATAGTTTTTAAAATTTATTACATTTGTGACAAAATTCTAAAGTGAAACAAATTAATTATTATCATAATAATTGGGTCGTAGGGAGGGAGGAAAGGGAAGCGAAATGGCATCAATAGGAAGGTGTATATGGGGAATGTCTGGATAGCTGGGAAAATTCTGTATATTGCCTAAAACGTAACATGGGTATTAATGTTATAATTTTTTCTCTTACTTTGCATTTATGTTTTATTATGTCCTATCTGTATGTTATCTTTCAAAATAATGAGAATGTTTAGAAAGCAGAGAAAAGAAAGTAAATTAGAGAATGAAAAATTAACCTAGAGCCGCATATTCTCATAGATACCATTGTAATTAGATGTGTGGTT